TCGGGTGGGAAGACAAGCAGCAAAAACAAGCAGCAAAAGGCAGACAATGGGATCTGAAGGGAGCCTGAGGAGAGCTAGGACCCAAAAAGGAAAAGGACTACAGAACGGTGGTGATGAAAAAAGCAGGGACCATGGAAGAAGGAAAAGGTGACTAGAGGCACAAGTACAGACCTAAACTAGGAAGAAAAAACAAAGATCAAGGAACATCAATCCTGTGCTGGGAAAGGAAGAAGGGTGCACAGTGACGCACTGGGAGGCAGAGGAGTGCAGAAGGTGCTCAGAACCCAAGAAATGTGGCAAAGGAGAATATAGGCAGGAGAGCGTGCTCAGCATTAGGAAGGAGAGTGTCAGCTGTCCCCAGGAATTCATGAAGAAGCAGAGCAAAAAAACATGGTCCAGGGAAATGAACTAATACCCTGTTCAGTGTGGTCAGCTCCTAACAAGCTGCTTAATCCTGACAAATCATATATTTATGGTATTTGATATTACAGCCGGTAACAGTACCTGATGGAAAACACCTTGCCACTGCATAGGCACTGTGTGACTCTGTCAGCGAAGAACTACGCTGGACTGGCTATTTCTGACTTAAATTCAATCCCGGGGACTCAGAGCAGCCCTCCCAACAGATAACACTATTTGAATGGGGACAGGCCAGAGTGTATTGCCTTTATGCTGCAGTGCTGTAGCCCTATAGCTCTTCAGAGCTGACTGCGTACCAGATATATTGTTCTCTTTGAGGATGGCAAGATGCTTCTCCCGGATCCGCTTGACGTATTCAAGGGATATGTAGTAAATCTTACTGCAGATGCCTTCAACGGAGTCCTTTGCTGCAGCAGACACATGGGGCCCACATTGTTTGCGTAAGTGCTCCAGGCGGTCCTGCAGAACCAGAAAACCAGAGAGTCCCTTACACAACCCACCATCGGACTCCCCAGAGGTATGCAGAGTCTGCATGCCACTGTCACTCCCATTTCACAAAGCAAAGGAAAGCGATCGCAGCCTTCTCCAGGAGGACCTTCATCTGGCCCCAAACACGCACCCCCCCTCTTTCCCAGGCTCCTTGCGCTCAGCTGCATGAGCAGAGGGATACTGACCATGTAGTCCTCCTTAGAGGCAGAATGGTCCCGTCGCAGCCAGCTGAAGGTGTCCTCCACGTTCCACTTCACCACCTTCCTGCTGTCTGGTGAAGCACTCCTGCACAAAATGGAGAAGCAAAATTTAATCCACGGCTGCACGGCAATATATTCCATCCCACCACAATGGTCTTCTATCAGCGGGGGAACACAGCTGCCGACACTTCCTCAAGGCCCTACCCTGTCACTCCCCTCCAGGCCTCCTCTGGAAAGTGTTTCCAGACATTTACATGACTAGGGACTGCCATGCTCTCTCCAAAACACAGTGTAGCTGTCTGCTGTCCTCTCTGCAACAGGAGAGGCAGATAAAGCATTGATCTATCATGGAAATGGTCCATTTTGATCTTGCCTCTCATTTTCAAATGCAGCCACTGCTAGGAGCTTGTGACTCTCAGAAAATTACACCATCAACAAGCTTTTTATTTTCCCCACATAGCTATCTTCCTCAATTCTGTCCTGTGGCAGATCTTGTCAGAAAAGTCATACATGGTATAATAAAATACCGCCCTAAGCTTGCTGCTCTTTAATAGCAGCGAGTGCCCAAGCACTCTTGTTTTTTTCTCAGGGATAAATGACAGAAGGCATTCTATGTCCAGTATTTCACAGAATTCTCACTTGTCTCTGCATATGTTCAGCTTCCCAACATTACATTTTACTGTAACATTACTATCAAAAGACGCCTCCAGCACTGTTGTTTTTCTTCTGTACCTTCCCAACCTTGCTCTTCCTCAGTAAGATGATGACCAACGCTGAATAAGGTGGGATGCAGCAGCCCCTATAACCTTTTTCTCTTTTCTGAATGTGACAGCACTGTAAGAGGAACTCCCACCTGGATTCAATCAGCCGTTTCGCAGCCTCGGCATACTTGAAGAGCAGTCTCTTGGCTTCCTCCCGGAACTTGATTCTGGATAACCTGAGGTAAGTTTAAATTCACATGCATCAGTTCCAAAGCTCCACGAAGGCATGGAGGCCAGGTCCAGTTCCCAAGCTTTACATCACCAGCATCCTACCGCTTCATCAGTGAAAGTAAAACACAAAAGCACAGAACCGCAGCAGCTAAATCACTGGACCAGACCAATGCAAAAACATCCCAGCAAGGTGCCCTGTCTTTGAACAGTACCTGATGGGAATGTCATTCATGATCTCTCTGAACATGGAAGGAGACACTACTGGCTCGCAGTCACTCGGTAAAAGAGGATCTGTCCCTTTATCAACGACCTTCCTCTCCAACATCCAGCGATTAAAGGACTCCCTTGGGGGGTCAATCCCTGGAGAAGCACAGAAAAAGGGTCTAATCAATACAATAAAGAGATGCCCAGAAGCTCTGATAAGGATCATCACATTGGAGTTCTGCCTAATGAGTTCGCAACCAACAATGTCACAGAGAGTATAACCATCACAAAAAGAGATCACAAGGACAAGACATAAACTAGAAGGAAGAACCCCACAGTACTGCAGGGTTGATAAGACAAATAAGGGGGGCCCAACAGAAACTTACCTTCTCGCTGCTGGCAGAGCTCACGATAATGTTGCCGCAGCTTGAGAATGAGCTGGGATCGAAGCAGCTCCACCTCGGGGTGTGGAGAAAGCACTTCAGATGGTGCTCTCTGCTTAATCACTGCATTTGTCTGAATATCCAGGTCCCAATATACTCTATGGCAGAAGCAAATGTCATCAGGATGGCTAATTATCAAATATTACTTCTAAAGATGCTTCCTTGGGCTGTTTCACCAGCCAGGAAATTGAACTATCAAGACTCCTTGCAAAGATATAGGGGGGTGTTACATCCCTCAGGTTCTTCTTCAAAGGTGTCTGGAAAACCAGGTGTCTCTAATCTACCACCAAGAACAGAAGACAAATGGAGACAACTCACTCAGTTGGTCGTAAAAGAGCTGCCTGCTGTTTATCTTCAGGTGAAACACACCATGCCTTCAAAACAGAGGTTCCTGGAATACTGGGAGAGCTGGGGACTAGCTGAGCAGCTGGGTTCCCTGGGACGTCCGCCTGGGCATGTAAAAGATGAATTACTGCCCCACAGAGACAGGTAAAGGGGAAGCAGTCCAGAACACCTAACAATCCTGCACCAGTACACCACTCAGGATACCCCCATGAACTGCTAGAGCACATCTGGCCTGCTGTTGGCCTAAGTTAAATGGACAAGCAAGCTACCATATCTCTCAGTCATAATCTGTTATCTCCCAACTCCCATGCTCCACCTCAGGCTGTAAGAGAGAAATGGCAACTTGGCAGGACCTGAGTCTGCTTTCACTTTTGTACTTTCTGAGCATCAGCTGTCACAGCTTGAGTTGTACTAGGGTGGCCTGACCTTGCACAGTTAAAAAAAAAAAGGTCCAAGCTCCAGACCCCCTAGGTTTCAGTTTGAACAACATCCTCAAGCCTATTTGTTTCACAGCACCAGACCCACCTTGGGCTTTTTCACACTGTTGCCGCTCGGTGGAACCTCTTCAGAGAATCTCCTCTTCCTTTGCTTGCTCTCCACAGAGGTATCTATCATACCACCTTCCAGTGGCATCGGAGCCGCATTCAATCCCAGAGGGTCTGACTATGAGTGTCCGAACAACAACAGCACATGTCAGTTCATCAGCTGCCACTGCAGAGTCCCAAAGGCACTAAGCCCTCTTAATTTCCCATTTCACTGCCTCAGGCTCCCACATGGATGGAAATGAGGACACTAATACTCACACCTGCAGAAAGCTAAAAAAAATCTCTTCTAGACCTGTGCCCGTATGCTTTTTTTTAAGACTTAGATGAGAAAAATGCAACAAACTCCCCAGGTTGAGTGTTCTTTGAGCAGTGCACTACACCTGGAACAGCACTACCTGAGCGTGCACCTGAAGGAGGAACACTTCATCAGAACCAAGCCAAACACTGGACTCAGCAAGGAGTTCCGAAGGTAGAGAAGACCCTCCCACACGTGCAATCTGAAGTCCACAAGACCATGGCATCTGTCCCTGCAGAGTATCCCAGTACTGGCATGGCCCCTTGGGATGAGTGCTTACTTACAATGACATCGTGCTGTCCCAGAACAGGCATTTCCCACAGAGACTGGTTAGTGAAGCGATTGAAGTAGTAAGGACGATTCTCCCGCTTGCTCCAGCACTTCTCCCAGCCAGCCTGCACCAGCTCATCTGAGAAGACAGTGAGATAAAGTCAGAAGAGGAGCAGTCCTGAATAACAGCCCTGCCCTTCAGGTCCCCATTACCATCACAGCACACTCTGAAATATGCATCATTCCTAGCCTCCCTCAGCAGCCTCGCTTCACCTTCTCTCCCCTGCTAGCACGGCCCTGCAGAACCCTATGCTGGTGCCTTCCCAAAAGCAGAGTCACTACCTGGCAGGTCCTGTACCAGTCGCATAGGTTTGGGGGAGCTGGGCTGGTTCTGGTTGGAGGTGCCAGGTGAGTGACTCATGAGAGACGCTTCCTCCGCAGGGCTTCCGTGATTCTCATTGGCCATTTCTCAGCAACCACACTAGAAAAAAATACACAGAAAATCCATGTTAAGGCAGGAAAGATCCCAGATCCACTTGGCCCACTCAGATGTAGCACTACAAGTTCATTCTGACAATAAAACAGGGTTTGAACCAGTACACACAAAACAGCACCCAAGTCCTAAAAAACACCTGTTACCCTAGATACAACTAGCTATGAGGAATGCTGAGCTTTAAATGGTGTCAACCAGGGAGTTCTTAAGGCCAGCATTCAAAATACTCACTTTTCAGCTAGATCCCTCCTAAGAGTGCAGTGCCTGGTCCCATACTGAGAGCATAAAAAATAAAATACACTCCTCTGTGAACACGTACCACCTGCCACACTAATACTACTAGCCATATCTGATCTGTTATCCTCAGAGACAGTTTAAATCAACATTTACACACACATAACTGCACATAATCTAAACAAAAGGCTTTTATTAAAAAACTTCTGCTATATGAAATAGCCCTAGTACTTCACTAATAACAACTTCTGCGGTTCAGAGAACCACAGGCTAGGAGTCAGGAACTCCTGAATTATTTTCCTCAGTGTGTCCCAGGCCCAGACTAGCTGTGAGGCCTCAGCTAGGCTATTTTAGCCTTTGGTACTTTTTCATCTTCATAACAACAGTTATGCAAAAAAAGGTCTGTTGAAACAATAAAGCTCATCTTAATCATAATTTAATGTTGCCAGCTGGAGAGAAACAGCCAGGCTTTTCCCCTCTTAGTCACCGTTCTTCCCCCTGGGGAAGTTTCTGAGACAGCACTATAGATTGCTCTCCTCTGGCAGCCCTAAATACAGTGGCAATGAACTGGGGGAAACAAGGCATTTTAAATAATTACCATCTACCTCAGTTACTTAACTCTATTCAGGCCTTTGGAGACACCCTACACAACACCGAAGTTAGGGCCGCAGTAGCACAACCTTGTATACAGAAGTGTGTTTTTTAACTGCAACACCGCAGTAGGCTCCCTTGTATATCATCTCTTAAATGAAAACTCTGGTTTGGTTTGCACGCTAAGTTATTTTGGATTTATTCACCCTTGCTCCCCTTCCTGTCCATAAAAACTGTGCTGGCTATTTCAGACGACCAGAATGGTAGGAGCTGACAATGGTCAAGAATTAGCGGGCACTAGCTAAGTTGTCTATAGTACCGGTTGTGGAATCAGTATGATGCAGGCCAGGGCTGAGGAACACTTGACCCTTCCAGCATCTCGGAAGATGTTTCCGTTTTTCCAGCAAGGGTAAGCAAGGAAAGGTGTGGGACACTGCAGAAACCTGGAGTTTCGGTGTCTGCTCAGAACTAGGCAGATAACAATAACCAAGCCCACAGGCGAAAGTGTCTGCTACAGAGCGTACCAATGCAATCATGGACATTTAATCACCCCAGCAGGTGAGTGTTGCGCAATATTTGTTTACCCACACTTCCTCCTGAACTCCAACCCCACCATGCCCTCTACAGTTACTTCACTTCAGCTAGCTGCCAGAAAGGCAGCAAGGTTAGCCCGGCCACCTCGAAGACACACGGCAGGAGCTCAGGCTCGCGTCAGGGCTGTCAGTGCAAGGAAGCACACCGGAACCTGAGGGGTCCTAGGGCTGCAAGGCATGGGCCTCATCAGGCAGTGCTGCAGGTGCATCCTTTTGAAGGATGTGTTTAGCCCCTCCTCCTTAAACTAAAAACATATTTGCACATGCAGTTGCTGATGTGTCCTGCACATTACACAGGCAACACGTTATAATGGACTGGTATGTACTGACAGGACCAGACCTCCCAAGGTGAGCCAAGGATGTCTTTCAGGAAGTTACAGACAGCGCTGGATATCAAGATCTTCCTAGACTGGCTAGCACACACCAGCTGCGGCAACTTGCTGGTGTTTTGCACCACTGATCGCTCAAAACAGCTCTCAAATAGGGTTCGCTGCTTTTGCCTTCTCCCATTTATGGATAAACTAGAATGGTGGAAGCAGACAAGAAGCTTTATCACTTGATCAGTGTTGATGAGTATTAAATCCAAGTACCCTTAAGATCTGGGAAAAGGAAAAAAGCAAACTAACAGGAATCCTGACAGAAGCAACTCTACTTTTATGTAACTAGTATTGGGACTTAGACAGTGAAAGGGATCCAGAGTAAGCATTTTATGGTGATTACGGTATTGTTTTTATACACCATGGCAATGCATACAGTACTTCACAGACACCGTAGAACGCTGTCCCTGCCCAGAGAGCTTACAACCTAGGAGCAGCAGCACAACCAGAGAGACCACAGCAAGGTAGAAGAAGACACAGAGTAAAGAAGTACAGCAAACAGCATCATTATTTGTTTTCATTTCACCGAGGTAGGATTTTACACAAGACAACAGCAAATGCAGACAAAGGAGAGCAGCGACAGCCCCCTGGGACTCAGCAAGGTTCTCCCTCATCCCACAACCACGGCTGCTTCAGGAGGCTGGAAGTCAGGCCACCGCCTCCTTCCATCAGTACTTCTCCCTTTCCCGAGAGCCAGCCCTTGCGCCCGGCTAGGCGGGACAGGGGCTGAGCAGAGCGGAGAGCTCCCAAGGCAGCACGCACAAGTGCGGCGAGCGCGCTGGGGACCAAGGGACCGTGTCTGCCGAGGGAAAGCATGCTGCCAGGCAGCGCGGAGGCAGCTCCCGGGGCTGCCCTCCCGGAGGCGGTG